AGTCGGATTCTGTGTTAATATTCGCTGACCGTAAGGAGTCAATCCTTTTTGTCGATGAGACCGCAAGAGAGAATGAATTTTCGTCCCGGTGATACCCCAGAGGAAAACTATAACGGGGTGTGTCTAAGGACACGAGAACATCGGATTCGTCGGGGACATCCTACGTTCGGAAAGTAAGGGAAATTGACGTTGCTGCTAATTGGCCAATCTCCATATCAGTAGTTAGAAAAGGATGCTAGCTGCCCTTGAGGGAGGGTTGCTAGTGGGAGACGTCGTTCGTGGAAAAATAGGTCTCTCCTGTCTTCCCGTAACTGGGACAAAGACTGTGTATCTGTTGAAGGATTTTAGGTAACTAGATATTAGTGTTTATGACGGTCCTCGGGCTAGCCGATCACGTACTGTGGAGACGCGTCGACATCTGGAAAACATCCTGCCCGGAGAATAGGATCTGCGTGTGGCAAGCTACGGGACAGAAACCGTTGGAATGTTTACTTCCACGTGCCGCTACAAATCTTTCTTTTAAGGAGGGCTATAGGATTACTCAATGTCTTTGTTAGATGGAGAGTTCGTCCCGTTGACCGCGGCCACGTTCGGCGACTAATTGTCGCCTTGAGCCCAAGCTCACTGTCACAAGTCTCGAACAAATACAATTGGTTAGAATGACGGCAAATAGTTTAATTACAACTGTAGATTTTAATTACAATGTTTTTATGGATTTTCCCGAGGTTTCAGAGGGAAGGCACCGGTGTCCTCTTATCTCCGACATGTATAATAATTTCGATACAGTTTTAATATAATTAAAAAAGTCCCTATGCACGGATCCCATGAAAAAAGTGTTGCGTTCATTTCGTGACTTATAGAAATATAAGCTAATTTTGATAACTGATAAATTAGCAATGCAACGACAATCAAATTGTCGCCTCGTTTTGCCTTTGATTAATCGAGTATCTATAACATTTGGTATCTTAATAACATTCGTGGTAGCGATGAACTTCTAATCTCAATTCCGAAGAGATTAAAAATTGTTTATATTGTAAAAATTCAAATCGGCGAATTTGTCGAAAAATTGTCTCTTCGTAGATTTTTACGGAAACTTTAGCCTATTTGTAGTAACAGTATATGAATATTACTAAAGTGTATAGATTAGCAACTACAAACAGCGCTCACTACATTCTTATCAACCGGAATCACCGGATTATAATACCAAATTACCTGTTAATACAGTCACCTCGACTTCACTTATAACACGAATATAAGTTCATGCTGCATATAAATTATTATACAAAAATTGTTTTATATTCAAACGCATCTTATTATCGGGTGACCCGTGAATATTCATGACCCATATTCCATGTAAAGCCAAATTTTTTTAGACAACGAGAAGACGCCAGAAATATCCACCGAGATCACCGAAACAGAATATCTACGACACAATGTTCCGATATTCGATTTCGTACGAACGTGTCTTTGTTCGTGGTGCAATTCAAGTAATAATTATATTTCAAAATATAATCGTTGATTATGTCCTCATTTCAGGATGCAAATTCGATGTGCATTATATTTAAATACCATTAAATTTGTGTAAAATAACGAATACATCTTCTTCGATGAGTTTCGGTGGTTTCAAACTTCATCGACGAAGAACAGAAACACGAAAGGTGCTGAAACAAGTTGAAACTTTCAACAATTGTACAGTGGAGAAACGCAATAAAACACAATCTTTAACGAAACAATTGTTCTTCGTCGGTACTACTCATACGTTGCGTAACTTCTTCCGGACACGCGAACGAAAACATATTTCAAAGACTACTACCGAAGACAAACGATAACATCGTGAAAGACCTACATGCCAGTACAGTTGTGTCATTATCAACGACTCCACGCTTTTCCGGCAGCTGAAACATCTTTCGAAAGGAAATTTCGATTGCTCTCGAAACGGTGAAGATTGTTTACAATGGCCTTCACTTGGAAACTGACAGTCACGGCACTTCTGGTAAGGGGACATTATTCATTTAAAGCAATAGATGGTAAACATAATAAATATCTAATTATATTCCGTTTAGATCGTGGTGGATACCATCGTACAATCTCGGTTATTCTCGGAAATTTTCGTCTGCGTGTTCACACAATATAATCTGACACTCGCGTTTACTCGACGAAAAGGATAAGAGGTTATCGCGTATAAAATGCCTACATCACTGGCCACTACGTGCATAATCATTACGCTATACATACATATAATATACGTACAGTTGCTCACAAAAGTATTTGAACATTTATCATAGAAAACTTTTATGTGTATATTGTACGTATTATATAGGAATCAATCTAGAAATTTATAGGTATAGAGGTTACAAGATATTTACTACAAACATACAGTACGACACAAAAGTATTGTTCTATAAGATCTTCGTATAAAATTTCTTGGCATTGAATGTACTAACTTTTTTGTGACTGTTGAACTTTTGAGTACTTTCTCCAGATCTTGCTTAGAGATAATATGATGCGTTTTAATGCTCTTGAGTGAGGGAGTCGTTAATATATACAGTGTATTAAAAATCATCCATTGCTTAGCAATGTAAAGTTTGTGTGTGGGATCATTATCCTGTTGAAAATAGTAATCTTCTTCTAAATTTTATTTTTCCTCACTTTTACTTTAAAATATTTAAATAATCATATTTGTCCATGACATTTTCAATAGAAACAAGCTCTCATACACCAGAAGAGCTCGCACACCTCCATACCATTATCCCATCACCCCGGGATTAACGACTTGAACAATTTTTTTTCATTTACTTCAGTATTCGGTTCTGGCTAAACTGAAAACCCGTCCATCACATTGAAAAATATTAAATTTGCTTTCGTCTGAAAATTTTGTCCCAGAATACTGTATTTTCGTGTTTCGGTTTTCGTCTTGCAATCTTTTATTCATATCCACCAATTTTGAGTGTTCTTCGAATTGTTATGGGGTGTATTTCTGTGTTAGATTCGTTTTTTACTATTTCAGCTATTTCCAAGCTATTTATGTAGTTTTAAATTCCTTTTTTGTTATATTGCCTATGTTTCTGTTTTCTTAATTTGTAAGCTCCCAAGGACGATCGCTTGGTGTGCCATTTGTTAGGCCCCTTTTGCCAAGATATTGTTTAAATTACACTTCTTACGGTAAAACATCTTCTGTTAGTAATTTTTCCTATTTCGAAATAAGATTTTTCTTGCTTATATAAATTTTATACAATCTCTGCTTCAGCAATTATTGTTTCTTTTGTTTTACTTCCCATTATTTACGCTTTTTCTTGTTCTGCAAAACATTCTTCAATAGGTTTAAAAAATAACGATCAGTTTGAATGGGGAAATTTCCCACGACATAACAAGTGTCCAAACGTTAAAAATGGTTAGGTAGAATACAGATAGTAACAAATTTTTCAAGTGTACCAATACTTTTGTCCCGCTAAAAACTTTTTGTGTATTTTACCTTTATGCGTATTTTATTTTGTTTCTTTTAATCTAATATTAAAATTATTTTTTAAATTTATGATTCTAGGCATACTTAAACTTTATGGATGACAGTTATATTTTACAGATTTACTTTACAGATTTACAAAAAATTTTATACAAAACTTCAGGCTATGTCAATATTTTTGTTTGGCACTGTATATTTCATTAAAAATTAGTATACTGTGTGAATAGTGAATAGTCATATTAAATGTAGCGGCACATGAGTTAGAGGACAATTCAAATCATGTTGTTTTATCAAGATCGTTAGGATACACGTAATGTAAAAATAAATAAACTCCGGGCAAAATAATGTCGCCGCTACGTACAACCGTCGAACAAAGACGAATTTGAATTTTCCGACTCTCCCCCGACCAGTATAAATAAACCGACACGATCGCAAGCGAGTGAGTTATCTATCGAGTTATCGACGAATTATCTAGAGTTATCGAGCAGTATTTACGAGTATCTGTCGAGCATTTATCGAGTATTTATCAGCGATCTTATTTTGCAACCTATACACTGTATACATTATTTATATTTATTTATTTATTTAATTTAAATATATTTGACGGATTGCAACAACAAGTTCTCATTATCCTAACTACCAATCCTCTACAAGTCCTCTACATTGGTGACCCCGACGTGATCTGAACACGCAAACTTCTGATATAATTTTCTAAATATCCTAATTATATATAAATATATATAATTGATATTAAAGATTCTCCTACTAAATTTTAACACTCATTAATATAATCGATAATTGATTGCTTAAATACTTTTGCGATTTCTGTGAAATATATACTTACGCTAAATATCTTTTAGCTTTCATTCCTGTTTCCAAATGAGTTCCTAACTTTACCAATATAATCACGATGGTTGAGTCTCATTACAATGTTACATTTACATTTACAAAATATTTCTAGAAGTGTTTAAATACTTTCGAACTACTATATATTCCGTTTTTTTATACATTTTTCTGTATAATAATAGTTTTTGTAATTTTGTAACTATTATGGAACACGATTTATTTTATAAATATAATGAACGTATTCTATATGAGTCACCGGTGACAACACTTTTCTTATATTTTCCATATTTTTTAATGCAATCTGTCCGAGAAAACATTTGACAGATTACGGTAGCCGTTGGGATTGCTGGCACTTGAATGGTCATCTCCATGGAGATGCCATTACAAATTGTCAATATATGTACGTATATACACACATATATCGTCTGTATACATGTCGGATTAATGTTGGAATTTTGGGCGTTTGACGAACTTTCACTCGAATTTGCCGTCGTGGTTATAACTGATATTTATTGGCACAAATGTGACTATTACAAGAGGCCACAAGTAATTGCGGCGATCGGATGGTCGAGATGTCAATGACAATGAATTCAAGTTCGATAGCGAATCCACGCCCAACGGGACAACGAATGCGATGTGATACACGATCCTGGTGTCACTCAGCGTGCAAATAGCACTCCTCTGAATAGACTCAATCGCAGTCCAAGTGGAACTGTCCTTATATAGTCCTCTCCCCACCTCTCGGGTCAATCTTTGTTTTTAAGGAGAGCTATATAATTATTCCATACCTCTGTTAGGTACACGTCCCTCCCGTGACCGCGGCTACGTTCAGTGACCCTTTATGTCACTTCGAGCCCAACCCATCGTCATAAACCTTGAGCACCCAGAATCGAATTAGAACATTACAACTATTTCTTAGTTTCATTACTCAAGTGTAGCTATAGTAAAAGTCTGGACTAGAGTATTGGGGTTTTCCCCAACATTTCAAAAGGGATGTCCCGATGTCCTTTCGTCTCCGACACGGCTATCCTGACTATCACACGTCCTCGAGTGTAACTGAAATATTGGGTTTTCCAAACATTAGACTCAATACAACTAACGTTATTTACAATGTAACTAAATGTCCGAATAAGCCAAGGGTCCAGTTCAGCAACAAAACTTTGTTCGCAGGTTTGATAGCAAAAGGAATAAAAGAAAACAAAATTAGTAACATTATGATTAGTATTCAAGTTGCATCCTGTGGGTTATCAACCGGATCGTAATGACATGATTACGTGTCACGTAAAATTGATACTTGGAGTGTGAGAGAAAAGAAGGCTGAGTCGTAACCCAACTATTAATTTTCTTTTATCGAACTTTATTATAAATTTTAACACTTACAATAATAGAACAACACTGAACCGGAGAAAGGGGTTGTACAAGAACAGACGTACAAGAAGTCTCGGTTTGTATACGTTTTGGTTTGAGGATGTTGAGGAGGCTCGGTATGGGTTATGAGTTTATGGTTATGGAGAAGTGTCCGAAGGTCGGGGGTCGATATCCTATCTTTGATATGGACTAAGGTGCGTCACAGACTTGGTGTAGGCCATGATGATAAGGTGGTGATGTGTCCAAAGGAGTCCGAAGCTCAGGAGTTGATGTCTTATCTCTGATGTAGGTTGAGATGTGATTGATGTCACAATGGACTATTCTCAATTTCGTACTCAGTGAATCTTACTTTTCTAGATCACATTACCACTTTGAGCTTATGTGAATACACTATGCTAGATGTTATGGCCATAGTGCTAATGATACCCAAACTAAATTCGATAATTGTATTGATCTTGCATCTAATTTCTTTAGACCACATGATCACCCGTAAGCGTATGTGAACCATTATGCTCGATCTTACATATCCATCCATATGTGAATTACATATCCAAGATAAGGCACCGATGTTTGTTTTTAGGAAAGAATATTTAAAAAAATCGAAAGAAAATCCGACGTTTGTGAGGGTATTTAACACTAGGACGAACTTCGAAATGAAATATCTCAAAAACCATAGCACCAAGTTTAACCATTTTGCATCGTAAATTAATCATTTCATCTAAAGAATTTATACACAAAATTATTTTTTCCTATGCTTTCTAATCTTTGAAATCTGTATATAGTATACCTATCTCTACGGGATCCGTCAAATTGACGGGTAAACGAAAATACACATTTTTCTCTAAAAAATCGATTTATTCAAATTAAGTCTGAAAGGAACAATATTAGGCTTCACATTTAAATAAATTATTGATAAATAAAGTCTTTTTTTAAATTATCACTAAAAAAAATAACAATAACATTAACGGTACAGGGTAATCATATCTATTGAGCACATTTTTTGCAAATATATTGAATGTTGTTTGTGCATTTTCCGCATACGATCTTTTTGCAATATATACAATAATTATTACTTCTATATTTTTTGCAATAACCCACTTGGCAACTTTTTCGCACTTCTGACTTTGAAGGTGACAGAAACGAAGCGTCTGATCTTTGGCAAATGTTCTTATTTTCCCCACCTAATTCCTCGGCTAAACAAAATATGAATTCCTTTCTGAATAATTTCGATCTGGTGCATTCTTTATATAATATTCACCCGTTTATCGCTGCCAAATCCAAAATATTGAAAAAGACTTGAGGGGGCCATCGGAAACTCC